AACACACACCACACACACCACAACCACAAACAAACACACCACACAGCACACACCCACACACACACACACACACACACACCACACACACACACACACACACACACACACACCAACACACACACAACACACACACACACACACACACACACACACACACACACACACACACAACACACACACACACACACACACAAACACACCCACACACAACACACACCACACACACACCCCTTTGGTTTTGAAGACTGATAATCCGAAAATGGATGAACAACTTTGCAGCCCAGTTTCCCAGCTTTGCAGTCTATCCACGGGTATGCCTCTTGTTTCCTCCCGCCACATCGCCTCCGTCCATACCTCTGGGAAAGGTGAGCTTGAGCTAGCTAGGGGAACGTTGCTAGCGCAGCTAACGTGCCGTTGCTAGCATTATCCACGTCTTGAGGCGGCTCTTCTGATGATGTATTACTATAGCAGCTCCACTTGTAGATTCGGTGCTGCTAGCCTCTTTCTTCTTGTGAATTATATTCTTTTTAGAAAATAAGTCAAGTAAAACATGTTAGCCTGCCATTATAGAGCTTTTTCGTTAGTGTTCTTGAGGGAAAGAGCTGCCGCAAAATCGGCGGGCGCGGCGAGCTGGCTCGCCGTGGGTGTGTCAGTGACCGCGGGGTCACGAGCGTGATGATGAATCATACTTTTTTAAGGAAATCGTTTTTATTTTTTATTATAATTACTGTGAAATGTATTATGTTTTCGTCATTATTACAACAAATACACACTTGCAACTGATAACACTGGCAATGATTTTATATGTATTAGACTTAAAAAAAAAGATCATGCTCAAAATAAGTGGGGGTACGGAGTACCCCCGCGTCCAACACCCACTACACCACTGGCTATAAGGGCATTAATGGGAGCCCTTTTTTCAAGTAACAAAAACGTTACTTTTCACAGTAACGCATTACTTTTGGGTGTAAGTAACTAGTAAAGTAACTGAGTTACTTTTGACATGAAGTAACTAGTAATGGTAACTAGTTACTGGTTTTCAGTAACTAGCACAACACTGCTAATAAACAACTTGTTTTTCCTAGTTTATACTTTAGTTAAGTATTCAAAAATAAAATGCATGTCTTAGCCTAACTATAGAATATAAAAGGTGACAAAAAAATAAATAATTTTACCATAAATAGACCCAAGCTAGTACCAAGTGTCTGTATCTGCTAAAATAGAGGCATGCTCTATTATTCTATGCATTATTCGGGCTATTTTGCATTCTGACCCAGTTCAGTTCACCAACAAGCCAAGACAAAGACGTATCACACAAAACATGAAAGAAAAAAATCAGTTTTGCATGATGATTTACCGTCCAGAAAAGAGAAACAATTATAAGAAAATCAATTTTGGCATCTGCTGTAACTTCTTACAAAAAAGAATAGCAGGGTCACAACATGGACATTTTGATGAAAGTTAATTAGACATTTTAAATAGAGTAGTAATTACTGTCTCTCACTCCCTTTCTCACATGTACAGCTATATCAGCTCATTAACACCTCAACCAAGCCCTACTTATTCACTTACAGTACTCCCATACAAACATAGCTGTCTGCTATTGCTATTATCATCACTATTTATTTCTTCAAAATGGACTAACGCACAAAGAGTACATCTGTGTCATGCTCTCTGCAAACACAGACCTGGGTCACAACAACTTTGCTTGACCATTATCTAATCCATAATCAGACAGATGTATAAATTAATCTGCTGGACAAATCTGTTTACTTCTTTGGGGACAAACTCGTGCTGGTGCACACATATTTGGGAATCTGGAGTGCTAACCAACCCACAAACTGTGAAATATGACAACCCTGTCAGTTGTGTTGGCTGACTGGTCAGAAAATCTGGGATTTAACAAGACAGATTTGTCTCCCCCTTCCTATATTGGTTCATTAGGTCATACAATCCCCCATCTGAGTGTCCGAGGATCTCCACCCAGGGCTTGCCTTGCAAAGGTGCACTATGTTTTCTAAGAATTGTGAGTAGATAACATATTTTTTTAGTCAAACCAACTAACCTGGCTCAAGCTCAAGCTACATTATCTCCAACAAAATCATTGTGTGTTCTGGAAGAATTCCACAGACACAAATGACATTTCACTTTATATGTATGTATGTGGTAGTGTAAATCTCAGTGCAGTGCAGACCTGTAGAAGAGCTGAGCTGCCATGGCTTCCTCATCTCACAAGCAGAATGAGGATAGTTTCTAAAAACAACCTTTTCCTTACTTATTGCTCTAGCACAACTTGTTAGAAAACCACAAATGATGATCCCCGTTCTCCTCTTTTCTTGTCATGGGTGCCACTGGTAAGCATGAGTCATCGATTGTTTTCTTGTTGACAAAGTTCTCACTAGGGATAGGGCAGCTCACATTATAGGTTTAAAATAAGTCTGTGTTTATTTTTATGAATCCAGTCATTAGATTTATCTGAAGGCACATTTGAGTCTTGCCAATACAGACCACTCCAAAACAGAAAATGGCCCCTGGTGAGCTCTAGAGGCAGGTATAGGGATGTTGCATCATGACAGCTCTCTAAACACACGATGATTAGTATTTTATAGACCAGGCAGTCTCATATAAAGCAGACATTAACGTCTCACTGGTGTAACACTATACAAACACTGGAGGCTGAAAACTCGACTGCCTCAACGCCCTACTGAGGACTGAGAAATGTAACTGCTGCCATCCATCAACAAAATGAAGGTTGTTGGTCCGAGGTATTCAAAGCCACCTGTTTCCTGTCCAGCGGGCACCAACAACAGGGTCAATGGAGGAAATTGCTGGATGGGAGCTAATGTATCTAACAGCAAGCATGAGGATGATTGATATTTGCAGCATCTGCAACATATCCACTCCAGAGTCATTGGTCAAAGTCATTTTGATGGATGAGAAATGTCTAAATATCAGCCAAAGAAATTAAACGGATAAACCTTCAACATTAAGCTTCAGCATTAGCGCACATCATATGTGACATGCTCCTGTAACTGCTGTGTCTAATTAACATATAATTACATCCTGATTAATAATTGTAGTTCAGTGCTGCGTTCACTCTTTAATAATATCAATTGAAGCTCTAATTTGTGCAGAACATACAGGGATTGTTTTTTCTAAGTGACATTCAGGAGTCCACATGGGGTCCATAGGAAAATTAGGAGTATATAAAAACACACAGAAGAATGTGGTTTAATGTTCTTCTTATCTGAAGGGGCCTCAGAAGAATCTGCCATTTTACATTTCTCAGAAACAAAACAGTAGATATAATACGAGGCAGTTCTCAGTCAAATTAGATGACAAGTGCAAACAATGGAACACTATTCAGAGGATTATGAACAAACATTTCTGGGCATACATGACAAAGTCTGTGTCTCTCAGAGTAAGTCAGTGTTTGTTATTTTGCTCTGACTGCCAAGCTTTTTTGCCACATCTTTCAATGTGTAAAATGGAGCCAAAAGCAGACCAATAAATCACACATTTAAAAAAAACAGCCTCTGGTTATGTAAAGCACTGGATTAATATATGAGTGGGATCTTTTCAGGCAAACCCGCTGAATCTTTAGGGAACTTGGCAGACTAAATGTGGAGGTCAGAGCTGCGGGTCACAACCTCTACAACAAAAACAACCAGCTCAACACAGAGCAGAAGGAAAAAACACAGAGGAGATTCACAAATAAAAATCCAACTTCAACAATTAGAACAGATGTTGTTATTTATAAGTTGTTCTACATTTTAAATTAACTTGATAGGGTGAACATGTGTGCCTTTCTGAACAATAACACACACTCAAGGGTCTAGCAATTGAAGACTTCAGTTAATTGTTAACCTTCTAAATTACGCCTTCATACACACTCACATAATTATCTATAGGATGTCACTAAAAGAGTTTCTCATTACAAGAATAAAGGAACCAACATTTAGCAAGGTAATTATACTGCCCATTAAGCCATTAGTTCATGATACCACATAATTACCTTGAATAAGTACTAAGCAATTCATCTACCCCAAATTAAATCTGTGATATTTCCAAAAAACATTTTTCTTTCTATGAGATTAAGAAAATAAGCAACATATCTTTCATTTCTATATATTTTTTAAAAATAGCATTATTAGCTATCGTTCCTGCTTGTCATGCTGCTTGTGTCTGCCACAATAGGCCTCCCTTGTGTTTTGCAGAACATCAACTGCATCAAAATGAATAATCCGACAATATACCATCAATTATTATGAAGCTCAATGAGTACTTCTTCGACAACAGGTCACAGTTTGCCAAAGATCTACTCAAATGCTTGCACTTTGTGATGTAAAGTCTCAGCGACAGCAAGACAGACTGAATAAGCTCTGAACAAGGCCTCTCTGTCTTTATAATGGCTCAAGTCTGCGCCCGAGAAATATGACACCCAGTATCGGGAATGATTAAGAAGAGAGAGCACCAAACAAAAAACCCTTTAAAGAAAACTCTACAAATAGGCTGAGCTGTCAGTCACAGAATTTGCCCAACTCAGCTCTCAGCCTGTAATGATGAAGCAGAGGCATCAGAGTTTGTGCTCTGCTGCTCTCTAGTGGGGGCAATTTAATAATGTAGTTTGAAGATCTGAGATAAAATACCCCTTTCCCCTTAAAAACAAGAACAACCAAGTAAGTCTGTGCACTAAACTATCCAACTATTGGCATGAATAATGGTCTAAACTAAGATCTTAAAACAATCATGGAATCATAGCTGGAAACAATAATTTGTATTATAATTTGTATGAAAATGTATGCATTATCATGATCGGTAATATACAAATGTTACATATTGTTTAGTGGAAACCAGTGGCATCAGCACAAGCTATATCATCTATTGCTACTCACAGAAAATAGCATTAAAAAGCCTTAAATCACAATTTTTACACTCTACACGTTACATGACAATCGATACAAAATAAATATCAGTATATATCAATAAGTATTACTTACAGAAATTTCCAGGCGGCTGTAAACTGTGTTTCGTCAGGGCACACCAGCCGACAGGGAACACGTCTCTGGAGTCAAAGTGGCACCAATAATCAAAGGCGCCTCGCCAGCCGTCGAACATGACGAAAATCTCCAGACCTCTGACCTCTCCAACTGTGGCGGGACAAATCAGGTAGGGGTTCTTCCTGTCTACCGCCTCCAGCTTCATGCCAGGCTGGAAGTAGTTTTTAACTGCTGTGGCTGGTTCCTAATGACACACACACATACACATAAACAAACACATTAATACTGTACAATCCGATTATCTCTGTTTCTATCCTGAAAGTATTTGAACATGATTATTTATTAAGAAACAACATTTTAACTGTTTCATTCAAATAAATCACAATTTTCTCCACTTTGCTGTAATAATTTATGCCGCTGTGCCCCACCAACTGTGCTCATTACTGCAATAGAAAAAGAAAAAATGAAACTTCACATTTTATAATGTGAACTCAAAATGTATTCTTCTATTAATAACCCCAATTATAGAGAAAAAAAATCCACATCTTTACTTCAAATAGTTACATTTAAATATTGTACAGTATGTTTTTGGTCAAATGTTACATTCATTTAAACGCTGACACCTTGAAAGTGAGTCCCTATTCAAAATGAAATGCTGTATTACTTTTTTAATGAAACCAAGAATAAATTGACATCAGATGTGTCAATTCATTTTTGGCTTCTGTAGCGTCTACCAGTTGCCTTTACCTTTTTAAAAGCAGAGGCAGGGGCCATCTCTGCTCCACTCAGCGTCCGCAGGAGGAACATGGGCCATGAGGAAGCATTCATCCTGAAACCTGAACAGAAAATCTGATTTATTTAAATTATTAAAACCTGGACAGAGTTGTTGGCAGTATGAATCATTTTGCCTAATGGCACGTTTACCCATTTAAAAACATGTCCAACAGCACATGCAGTTACTACTTGCTAGTGACTTTGAGACTTTAGCCTACCATTTACTAATAACGCTCAAGAATTCCTCTAATGACCATGCTTTCATCGTCTTAGACGCATCAGGTAAAGGAAGAAGAGACATTATAATTTCTAAAAGATCTGATTATATCTAGGATCACAGAAGATGACATAGAAGAAAATGTTATTTAATTGACATCATCTATTAAATTTCAACTTCAGATGTGTATTATTGCAGAGACTGGTTGGGTACGGTTAAATATTCAGAATTTTAAAAAAAGCAACCACATAGATGCTGAGATTATTTTAGATTTGACTTGCTTACACAATTAAGGGAAGTGGCAGAAATACACAAAAAGGAGCAAGTTATCCTAATGAGAGATAAATAAAACACGGATATATGCTGCTGTACTATATTAAAAAGGAAAATAAACAGCTGCACATACATAACGAGAATAATAATAATAATACTAGCCTCTAATTAAACAGAAAGAATATACTGTGTTCAACAAATGGTCATGCCCGTACGTAAATGCCATGGAAACAGAACGTGGCTCTGTATAAAGCGCTGCTGACCATTTGCACACCTTTTGCAAAACACACCCGTGGAGAGCGAACTCCTTGAGACTCAACATGCAGGAAAAAGGAATGCATCACTAAAACTGCTGTTGAAACCCGGAGAGGCTCAATATCACCCTCAGTTCCCCCGTTAAGGAGCAGCACCTGCAACTGGCCATGTGGGCCTTGTGTGGGGCATATACATATTGATTCAACTTATTGTCATTACACAGTACAGGTACTATGTAACGAAACGGTTTCTCTGCATTTGACCCATCCTAGTGTTAGGAGCAGTGTGCTGCCATTATGTACGGCGCCCGGGGAGCAGTGTAGGGAACGGTGCCTTGCTCAGGGACACCTCGGTAGCACTTGGTCTTTCCGGGACTTGAACTGATGACCTTCCAGTTGCCAAGCCAAGTCCCTATCGACTTCACCACCACCGCCCTATCAACATGGCAGGTAAAACTTTTTTTCTTTTTTTTTTCTCTCGCCTTTTAAAAATGGATCATTACCCCTTATATCATACAAAGCCATTTCTGTGTTGAAATAAGTGAACATTATTTAAGGTGGAAAGTTCATAGAATGTTGCAGTGGCGAACCGTGTCTATCACAACTGGACCTTCTGTAGAGGATACTCTAGGATATTCTACCCAGAGACCCAGAACAAGATCTGATTGGTTGCTTTCTTTTCTAACACAAAACCATTGAAATGCGTAGTGCATGGTCCGAGAAGGACAAACAAATCAACGTAACACTGTAATATTACAGATCAACAACACGGATACGATTCTCATGTATTCATTTTATATACATTTTATTACATTTTATTACATTTTATTTATATAATTAAATCGATTTTTTGTTTGTTTTATCTGAGTGTTTCAGGGTATTCTCTGAATACCTTGAAGGCCCTGACGGTTCGCCACTGGAATGTTGGCAGTTGGAATCAAGAAGGAAATATGACTTTGTACAATATCTTGAATAAATAAATACACATTTTGAAAATATGACTTTGTTTAAATGTTCCTTTTACTCAAAGTATTATTTATGTATATTCATAATATAACATGCTGATATCAAGCTCCAGATTATTTCCCGCAAAACACAGCGTAATTATTCCCAATTATATTAATATTAAGTCACAAAAAGAGGCGGAAAAGGTACTCAGATCTTGTACTTAGAAGTACCAGAGTGTAGCAATACACTGTTACAAGTAAAAGTCCTGCAATCAAAATGTTACTCAAGTAAAAGTAGAAAGGTATTGGCATCAATATATCCTTAAAGTATCAAAAGTAAAAGTATGCATTATGCAGATTGGCCCCTTTTCAGAATAATATATACTATATGTTTTGAGTATAACTATTCATGCATTAATGTGTTTATCAAAGCTGGTAAAGGTGCAGCTAGTTTTTAAATTACTTTGTTTAGTGCAGGTAGCTTGTGAATATTACTCCAATGTCACTAAAGTCTGATTTTAGTGTTGATTGTATTTCACATCATTAATCCAAAATCTGCAAAGTAACTAAAGGTATTCAATAAATGTAGTGGAGTAAAAGTACACAATTTACCTATGATTTGTAGTGGAATAAAGTAGAAACAGAATTAAATACTTGAGTAATGTACAAGTACCTCAAATGTTACTTAAGTAGCCTACAGTACTTGAGTAAATCTACTTAGTTAAAAACCACTGAGTGTATTTAATATCTAGTATGAATGTGGAGTCGCTAGGTCACATGACAAATAAGCTATTGAATTTTTTTAATTATTAGCATACTTTTCAGCGATAGACTAGCAAGGTATGGAAGATAACATTGTTGAAAACCCTGTCAAACTAAGAGAGAAGACGTCATGGATCCGGATCAAGCCCCCAGGAAGTGCGCCGGACTCTGAGGAAAATATTCGTTGTGGCCAAATGGCGGTACTACACTTCCGTATCAGTTGCTGGGCCCGGAAAGACTTTTTCTCATTGACTTACATTGGGAAAGTGACGTCTGTAAATCGTTGGATATTTTTTAAACATAAATAAACTACCCAGTATGAACATTTGTATAGCCCTTATTAAAAACATTCGGTCCTCAAGTTGTAAAATGTGCTAATAACGTTATTTTCCTCGGCATTATGAACGCGGATCTACATCCATGGATCTAACCCACGGGACCGCGCCGCCCGGCACGTTCATGTGACGTGTGCAGTACTACATGAGTTTTACCTTTACCCATGGATGCACAATAAGAACGGATTATATGATTATATGAATACTTTCGTGACGTTTCACTCTCTCAAAAGTAGGGCCATTTTATCTTCATACGCCAATGAGCAACTCTCATAGGAATGAACGAGGACCCGACTCCCACGCTGTATCCAGTTCTTATTATACATCCATGGTCTGGATATACAACCTGAAACTAACTTCACCGCGGTCATTTGCGGCGCTTTTGCAGCATAACACCATAGCCTGCATAACACGCTCTCCTCACCTTCCACCTGAATGGAAAACGGCTGATAAACTGCTAAAACGGCAGAAAAACAAAATAGTGTCTGCCTTAATTAAAATCAGTTTGATTCAATAGTGATCCTTCCTTACACTAACTTAAAGTCAATGAACACTGAGATGGGGTGAGGAATCATAACCTCACGTTGCAGATCAAGCTGCTGTTTCACTGTAAAACGTGCATCCACACTGAAAGTCAACCATACTCTTCTGTCAGGAAATGCAATAACTAAAACCACGAAACAGTGAGTAAATAGCGTATATAAATAATAATTTGTTAAGCTACAAGTATTGTGTTAGTCCACTAGCCATTATGCTTATATATTCAAGGTAAAATCCCATAGGCTTATGCTAATAACATTAGCGTTCTAACTTCTGTACCTGTGGTGAAAACTTGACAATCAGGGACTTTTTCTTAGCAGTGAAGCTTGCGAGTCATAATAGAGCAACATTGTGTTTATTTTAGTTAAATGTCATTTCTGACAATCACTTTTTTTGGTTAAACATTTTTTTTTGAAAATTAACTGTGCATAGTGCCAGCTTTTAACCAATTTTCACAGTGGCTAAACAGTGGAATTACAACTTCCGGGTACGTCACGTGACGCCATTGGCCCAATTTGTATGTATTATCAATAGACTATTTGAAAAGAGAGGATAGTGAATCTGTTTATCAGGTAAACTTCCCAGTTTAAACGCTCAGTATACAAGAAAGTGCATACTGAGTATATCCCAAGACAAAAGATGTAGCAATGAAAATGTCCTGGCTGTGGAATGGATAAAGTATCTCTGATTCTGATGTCAAATGCAGTATGCCAAATACACCTGGATGTCTTTCTGCCTCCGGTTGCGATTGAAGTTTACAGGTCAACATGCTTCTCTGTAGTAGAATGTCCATATTGTATACACTCTGCATGCAACAGTTAACAATGTGTAAAGGCAGCTACAATACCTTTTGAACATAAACAAAAAACGATGTCATTCCAAAAGCATCACGACATCACCTGCATACCCTCAAGTATCTATGTTTAAAGACACTCACCCAGCGGTGGCTGCAGCATGTCTCCGGTCCTCTCACAGGTTCCTATTGGCTGGATGTCTAACGAATCAACCAGTCTCCAGAAGTCGTTGGTGTTGTCACTTCCATCCAGACGCAGGCGTAGGCGAGTGCCCACCATGCCCATCACCGTTGCAATGCACACAGAGTTAGAGTTGCGAGGGTCCCGTGCCTCAAGCTTCATTCCCGCTTTAAAGTCATTAGAGGGGGGGATTCTGGACTGCAGAGGGACACAAGGGCCTTCAGTCACTATCATGTTTTGTGAGGACACATATTTCTTGATTTATTACACATCTAATTATACTCCAATTAATAAATTGTGATTTATTTGAAAAACACAGTAAACACAGTAGGCTACGTTGTAATATTGTGCATACTGCGACTTCATATGTATTTACAGTAAATAGAGAATAAAGCTGCCGATATTCATCGTCTAATGTAGCCTACTCAGCCAATTTCTTCCTACTGGAAAAAATAAATGTAAATCTTTAAAAATGTGTCAATAAAACTAAATTGTTTTCCTTTAAAAGCTGGTGGGGTAGCAGTATTAAATAAACTCTTTGATTAGGACTATTTTCAGCCAGCAGCAGTTTATTTTACTATATTCAAAAATAAACTCATGTTCATCGTAATAAAGAAACATATCACTCACTACAACAAGGGGATGTGTTTTTAATCTTTTTTTGGAAAAGAATGGAGCTCTATGGCACGGAAAAATACTCAGTATACAATTGTTAGGTTTTATTTGGCACTTGGTCTTTGTTAACAGTGAGATAAATAGAGAATATACCTCAAACAACACATTATAACCAAACAACCCTAATTTTAAAACAAAAAATGGCATGCTTTTCCTGAGTTATAGCAGACTATATTCAACCATTTTTAAGATACAAACATTTAAAGAAAACAACAAGGGGTATGAATAACATTGGACCCTTTAAATGCAATGATAATAAAAAAGCAGCTAACCTGTTTGAAGCAAGTCGGTGAGGCTGCAGTCGAGGACGTTTCTCTCAGATAGTCTTCCCATCTGAATGATTCTAGCATCAAAAACAAACGGATGATTATTATAAGATCAGAAACTGCTTTACTTGTTCAAGTATGAGTAGACATACAAAAAATGTCATTGAGTTTTTTGGGTTGCTCTGTGTATTGCTCACATACACAGAAATAGACAGGTAAAATAAGGTTAAACATTTACCTAAGATATAAGTATGTATGTGCTCTAGGTGAAAAACAACATAATAAGATTATTAAAAGAGTTGGTGCAGAGTGCATCCTGATATAATGTATTTTAATATAACAGTAATATAATAGAGTTTGTTATCAAATCGAACATATATATTGTTTCTTTTTTTCCAATAGATTCCATGCAATGTGACCAATCAACTTCAAATCTGACCCAATGTTTGTATTACTAAGGACACATAAGACATGCTATAAAAAACAAATAGCTTAATCAATAATTTTTCGGAAAGTGTTTTTTCTTCTTCAATTTATTGTAAAGGCCTTCAGCCACAGAGCATTATCCAACATAATATTGAACTACACTTAGCATTATTCAACTGATAGTTTGGAAGTAATGAGTTGCAGTTAGAGAGCAAAACAACCATGTTTACTTGTTTATACCTTAGTTGCTAAATCTGCACCAGCCAGGAAGCTGAAGAGAAATACTCAAACAAAACTTGTTTGAAAATGTTTGGGAAAATCTGGGGAAACTTTCTTAAAATGGAGTTTAACATATAGATTAAAATATCTTATTTACCCACACCAGAAATGTACTGATAAAAGATAATAAACATAGGTTAGTGCTCGTACTGGAACCGAAGCGGCTGGATTACAAAAGCTATTATCTGAAAGTTTTAGAGGGTTAATGAAAAGATTAACTATGAACAGAAAGAAGCCAGAGATCAGAGTTGCCAACCATTAGATTTGTCGAGGGGAGATCCTGCTGTGATGCTGCTGCGTCTCTCTTTCTCCTCTTTCTGATCTGAAATCAAAAGATGATTGAACTGCTCATCAGAATGTGGGAGCTGCTGACATACAGACTGTAATTACTGTGAGAATGAAGGCATAAAACCTGCTATGGGAATAGTTCTGAGAAAAGAAAGACTACCAAAAAATCGAATTATGTGGTTGGAAAGCGTTAGTGAGTATTTTTGATCCTTCTGTGTTTGTTTTATGATCAAACTGGTGTTGAAGTCTAGTACATTTGTTCAGTCAGCACTGTGAAGGCCTACCTCTGTGTGGTGTTCGGCCCATGATGACCAGTTAAACGTGCCGCTGCAGGGGAGCTGAAGTCAGACAGGCTGCTACCTGCACAGACACAGAACAGCATTTCAAGTAAAAAGATGACAGTATGTTTAGATATATTGTTTCAATAGTAAATACACATCTTTGATTCACATCCGCATCAACATTAACAGATTTGAAACTTATGTGCAACAATCCTTTCCCTTTGCACTGACTTTGCATCGGATCCTATGTGTATGTTGGGTGAAAAAGTACCTAATGTTCTAAAATACATTTCTGATTTACCTCTGGTAAAACTAAACATGGAAAAGTGTTTATGCCATGACACAAACTTCAGGGAAACTTTTAGGTTTTTTTTTTCCAATTAAGGCTTCAGTCTTTTATGTTTGCCCCTTAATTTAATTTAATTATTTTTATTTTATTTGGTTGATTTGGGTCCGTTTATTTATATCCTGCACTAACATTTTACAGGGTAAGGGTTTTTTGTCATTTATATAAAAAACGGTCTGTGTAGCCAAGGCCAAGGTTGTTTTCCAATCTATACCTAAATATTCACTGGAGCTCCAAATGGGTGTATAATATATTTAAATATTCCCCCACTAATGCAATAGTAACATTTGCTAAAGCTACTTAGCTGTTTAAAATCGAAACTTGAACTTTTTTTTTAATAAATATTGTTGTCTGCAGTACGAACAGATGAGACCTTTGACACATTTGAGACAAATAAAGGCATAAAGGTCATGGTAAACAAGTTGGTTTGAGGAACAGAAAAACTAAATAATATCATAATCAAATTGGATCAAAACAGATAATATTTGACAGTCTCTAAGGATGCATTACATTCCAATAAAAACATGTATTCATTTTGCAGAACAAATAATTATGACACTGCATAAACCCTACCAACAACATGTTCACTCATGTCGATTTGAAATGTATCAAAGGTCTCTGCGTTTCAAGTTTTGCTTCAGGACTAACCTTTACTCCTGATGCAGGTTACATAATATTAATAAAATAAAATAGTTACCACACGATCAATGCTGAACAAATGGCCCAAACATGTAGGTTCACAAAAACTCTGAACATACTCCCACTCCCTGGAAATTCTGTACATGGTGATAGCTCAAGAATGAAGCAAAAAAATTATCCACAGTATGAGAGCATCAAAAAATGTTGTGATGCACTGTAATCCAGAAATGTAGAGGTTAAATTTGCTCCAGAAGCCAGAGAATGTCTCCTTTTCTTGGTTTAAAAATCTCAGCATCTGCAATGCATTGTGTCTGTCCCTCCCTCTGAAGACCCTTCTGTCTCTGCAGCGAATCCCATTGAGCCAGAAGGAGCCATAAAGATTCCAAGCTGCCATAAAAAGCCATTAAGACGTGTGGATGCGGGGCGACATGAAAAGGATTCCAACTCTGCTCTTCACTCAGCTGCAGCCTGCTTCAGTATTTGCTCTGCTCTGCCTCTCTTGCTCAAGAGAGTCTGACACAAAACACCCATCAGACCAGGAAGCACTTCATTTTACAACCCCCATTTGCACTAAGGCAACCACTTATCTAGGAAGAGTAATGTTCACTAACCTGAACAGTGAGAAGATCTGAAAAATTACCCTGAGATCTGGTTTCAGGAGGGGTCATAACTTTTCCTTGACATGAGGAGCTGTCACAGTGTGACTTATGACAGTAGTTTTTCTCATGTGATAAAATAAGTGCACAAATCGTTATACTGAAAACTTTACGATGTTTTGTTCTAGTGATACTTAATTTAAAACAAAACAAAACAAATTCAGACATGTGAGAGGTTTCGGAGAAATTTACAAGTTGGCCTGGTGTATCACCCACAATTGGAAGTGGAAGTAGAAGTAGTTGGAAGTTCAAAGCCCAAATACATTCCCACAAGACAAAGAAAAGCAGTCAATCTATGGAAGAAAAAATCACTTGATTTAACAATTAAAGGTTTGGCTATCCACTAGTAGCCTATATATATATATATATATATATATATATATATATATATATATATAATAATAATTACACACATTACCGCCGGGAGACTGAGGGGTGTGACCCGCTGCAGGCCGTCACCTCCAGGGAGGTAACTTAAAACATGGTTTCATATCCAAAAAAAACTTTCATTTCAGAATGTTTTTCATAAAAACAGTTTTCCTGATACCAACATTTAGGTCCAATCTCTGTGACTTAAGATTGAACGTGTGGTTGATGAAAAGCACACATCTTTTTCATTTGCATGATGCAGGTTCGGAGGGGAAACACTGAATCAGCAGAAGAAGAAATTAGATTTGAAGAAAGGCATGTGACGCATTTTCTTTTGCGTTATGGTCCCAGTTTGTGGGCGGTACAGTGGTCATTATACAGGGCTAAACCATACAATATATGGGCTAACCACCACTAACGTTTCGTTACAAAACGGAGCGTGATAGGAACATTATAAGGCTGGAAGATCGTAAACGTGTTTTGGGTTGAAGTGTAACCTCTTCAGGAATCCAGTAAACAAAAAGCAAAGGGGGAATCTGCAGAGTTCAACGTAGCTCCTGAACGCAGCGAGCTGTCCGCCTGAACAGAAAACAGTATACACGCTGTCTGAGTCAGTACAGGGACAAACAGCAGCTAACATGACCGCTTATCCCTTCAAACCCGTCACTGGCAGCACATCAGAGTAATAATGAGACAGCAGCCGTACCAACCTTTTTGGATTTTGATGGGAGATTCCTCACTTTCTATCAGATGCAAGCCGCCATATCCGCTGCAGCTCCGCGCATGTCCACCACGCAGTGCTGTAATTCATATTTTCCACTGGAGGTTTAAAAAAAAAAAAGAAGAAACAGACCGAGTAATGGGAAATTGTCAATTAGTCGTTTTATTGAAACAGATATTGTTTAATGTTCGCTTGTTATAATAAACTGCATGTCGTTTGGAAACGAAAACATTAACATTTATTGTGTTTTTCTCTGTTTTAATGCAGGAGAGGGTGGTGAAAATGCCACGGGTTAATATAACTGCAGACACCGGAAGACTAGTCAGACCTGAGTGAGTGACTGCTGAATAAGAAAAAAACACTGAGTTAAAATGAGAAACATTAGTAGATTAAGTGTTTGTAATAACAATATGAACTATAGCCCAATACAAGGACATTGGATGATTATTAATGTTGAAATAACCGACATCATTGTTTACATCCTTTTAACACAACAGAGTAAAAAGAATAAAACTTGCAAAAGTATATATATTTACTAACACAAAATATTACAAGCAATTTGTTCCTAAAGTAAAAGTACTCATTATCCAGAATGAAACTTTTCTCAGGTTTGTATTAATATTCTTGCAGACTAAACAGCTGATGGGGTTCTTCTGTACTTTATAAGCTGATGCATCATTTAAAGGTAGGTAAGTATGGAATGCCATTTAAGCCAAAATTAAATAAATACATAAATAATTAAATAAATACATATAAATATGCCTGAAATAAATAAATGAGGCAATAAATATGTATATGTATATATGTAGCCTACATTTAAATACACATTTATTTATTTCATGGGACTTTTATTTCATAATGATAAGTTTATTTATTTCAGGGGACTTGTATTTCATAATGCCACATTTACATTTCTTATATGCTAATGAACGGGGCGTGGTTAGCTCACAGATCCAGACCAGAGCCATATAATAGAATATATCCATAATATACATATAATTCTATTATATGGCTCTGATCCAGACCAAAGCAACAGCACCACAACACTGACTCATGCGGCTTTCACACCAGTGCTTTTCCCATTCTAGCTCCGTGCTAGAGCTTTTCTGGTTCAGCTCCGGTTTCCCTTTTCTGCTCACGCTTTGTTCACACCGCCCTGAGCCCGACTGGTGCTGCCGCTGCTGCGTCATGACGTCACCGTTTACATCGCTGATTTGATCCCGACGGCGCTCACAACAACAACAACAACAACAACAACAACGGGGGACTGCGTCGGGTCGATGATCGTGTTGCTTTTAATCATACGAAGCCAGATTAAATTAAATAACGACTTCTCCAACCTTATACTTTTCTCCAGAGTGCCGTGGTTCATTGTTTATTAATGTGTTTCTGCGGCATTTACCGACCGCTGCAGTGCTGCTCTTCCACAGGAGTGTATTCTCCCGTTAGTTCCGGGTTAGCTCACACGGCAGCGGCCGCTCTAAAGTATATTCACTGTCTGACTGTCACACAAGCAGCTGATACATATCCCCAGTTCCCCTTAAGTGAATGTGTGTCAGTCTGAATTGACGCTGTTTGACATCACAACGCTGTTATTAAAGTTTCTCTGGTATAAAATGGGTGATGTTAGCATAGCAACCAAAGCTAAACTGACTACTTGCTATTGCTATCCTATTGTGGCATAAGCCGTTTTCTACAGGCACATTTTACCGGCGTATTTTTCATTATGATTCTACTTGTGATAGTCGGACATGACAACCTGTGCAGCCCATGTATTGATTACATCCGATAGCTAATACAAAACAAAACTTCTGCCTGCTCTCCACAATGATCAATAACAGTGAACGGATGGTCAAAGTAAGGTACAAATAAACAGAATCACACGAAGCCTGGTTAATGTTGCCTGACTTTAAGTGTGTTATTTTTGTATAAGTGTGTGGTTGCGTTCTAGTCACTTTGCTCAGCGCTACTGCTTGTTACAACTTTCATTTTCCGTACTCGCCATAAACTATTATTATGGCTCAGGTTAATCTCGTCCCCTTCCGACGTGAGCGTGGTTCTTGGTTCTTGCCGGGCAGCCAAGTGGGGTCAGCTAAGAACCGGTTTTCGGTGTATAGAGCCGGCTCCGCTGCGGCTGAAACAAGAAGAACCAGAGCTAAATCAGGCTAGCCCAGAACTGGCTCTGGAACCGATTTAGTGGAAAAGGGGCAGAACCAGAGAAGAACCAGTTAAGCACCAGAAAAGCACAAGAACTGTTCTTGAACCGGAACCGGTTTGGTTTATTGGCAGTTTGCAAACCACTTAAGAGTACTGGAGTGTGAAACAAGAGCTATTGAGTCAGTGTTGTGGTGCTATTGCTTTGGTCTGGATCTGTGAGCTAACCACGCCCCGTTCATTTGCATATAAGGAATGGAAATGTGTCATTATGAAATACAAGTCCCCTGAAATAAATAAATGCGTCATTATGAAATACAAGTCCCCTAAAATAAATAAATGTGGCATTATGAAATACAAGTCCCCTAAAATAAATAAATGTGGCATTATGAAATACAAGTCTCTTGAAATAAATAAATGTGTCATTATGAAATAAAAGTCCCATGAAATAAATAAATGTGTATTTAAATGTACATGTATACATATTTATTGCCTCATTTATTTATTTCAGAATTTATTTCATAGGCATATATATATATATAATTATATATAATTATTTATGTATTCATTTAATTTTGGCTTGAATGGCATTCCATAGTTAAGAATCATAGGTAAGAATGGAGAAACCAGCTCGGGTGAGCTAGAATTTGAAAGTACGCAGCCGAAAAAAATCTGCCCCTTCCTTCAGACTTCCTTACAGAGCCCCTCCTCCAACACACACGAACGCGCACATGAACAATGAGGGCACGAGATAAATGTGTGCACGAGATGAAAGGCTGACAGGCAGGTAGGCCATCCAGTTATTTTAGTCGGGCCGGCTAAAATGATTGGTCGTGCTTTTTACAGCGCCACGGCTTCCACAGATTCATTTTTGTATGTATTTATTGTCAAAGCATTTAATGTATTCATTGCTATCGGGATGATAAGAGCATTCCATGGAATATAACAAAAAGTGTTTCTGAAGTGAATTACCTACCCCACCTTTAGTCTGTTTTATGTGATAACATATATTAACTTTGTATTGTAGTAGTCTGCTGCATTATTTACGAGTGAATAGTTATGTTGTGCATATTTATAATCTTATGATTTCTAAAGTAGACTTACAGTAGCCTATATCTATTTAAAGGCAGTTAGAAAAAAACATCTTTCAAGCTCAGATAAAAAAACATCAGTATTTCCCCTCTGAAATGCATAATTGCATGCACAAATACCTTTCTTTATTAGTACAGGACTTGATTAAATGTACTAAGTTACTCAAAACAACAATACATATGTGTAATTGCTTTTAGGTGCAAAATGAAAAATGTCTTCCAAATATTCCATTTGTGAAAAGGTCACAGACAAAATGTGAAATATTTGTTTCAATTCTTGATCTCTAAATATTAAAATAGTTTTATCTCAAATAACAAATGTGCCACAAATTGAGATGAGAAAATGTTTTTATTTGGCTACGAAACGACCAAATGTTGCACATGTTATTACAGCTTTGCACTGTAATACCAAATGTCTCTTTATATTTGACAATATTACAGCAGTAATGATGAGTCACTGTCCCCTCACAGGTCACTTGTGAAAACCTAAATAATGTATACTTATCTTACTTTACTCAAATATTTAGGCGACATTATCCCCACTGCATTTGAGACAATATTACCTCAACATTAATCTGAAAGCTAATTGTTTATAATGTTAATGCTTCAGCAATACCATCATTCAATAACATTAATCCTTATACATGATAAGAAGGGTATTTTATTAAAAAGAAAAACACACACATGCACTTGTATGTTGGTTTAGGTATATTAATTATGAATTATGAATTATGAATTTACATTGGTATAAATTGGCTGGATAGGAAGAAAAAGCATGTGTTTTTGTCAGAGAATAATTTGCTAGATAAAAACAATCTGCTTTAAACACAATAACGTTGATACAGTTGTTGCAGTGACAACAGTGAGCCAAAAGGATGGTGTGGAGGTAACAAAACCGAACAGATGGCTAAGGAGGTATTTTTGCAGCATTTAATGTACACATATATATCACCTGCTTATTACGAAACAGACTGACCCAGTGTCTTTGCTGAGAGTGAATTCACACTGATTTCACCAATTAGTGCAGTAATGAAGGGGAGGTGTGGGAGAGAGTGAGGGCGTGCTGCAGGAAGATGTTTAATCAGTGTCACAACATGGTTTGACCAAAAGGGGGGATGCAACAGCACTGTCAGACACAGACAGTGTGGAATCTGGGTAGGGTGATTCATATCAGGCATATTTAAAGATTTACCAAATGAGGAGATGGATTGCATTTTCATTCCAAAGTTTTATTTGATCACAGCTCTCACTATGTGAAGCCACTGTTGGAACGCGCAGCAGTCCTCTTTCCTATTGGCTGTCCGCAGCGTCGCTCAGAGGAATGACGATTTTGCTGCTATAACCAGCTGATACGGAGACTATGAACACGGAGCCTCTGAAGAACTGTTGACGGTACATGGATACCCTGTCATCGGCGATATGGCTGCAGATTTGGTCTCGTACCCATCTGGAGATTGAGTGAGTAGGATATTTGATCGTGTCACGACGCACAGGCCCGGGCTTTTTCACCCCCCTCACCGCCTGTCGCTCCACATGATGTTTCTTCGTCTTCCCACATCATCATCTCCATGGGCATGATGCTGTGTGCTCCACAGATTGAGCTTTCTCACCTCACATAGGCGAGCCATCAAATCTGCAGGTAAACATGTCTTCATTGGTTTAATGATGGACGGGCTGCCATGGATTTTTGTGCGTGAATTTATGTCTAATTAGGGCTTTATGGGTAAACGCTATTTGCGGGTTCTGTTGTGCAACACTGTCGTGAACATGGTCCGTGAACTACCTTATAATATATGCACTGGTTGCTGTGTAGGCAGAGAAACGCGTGGACAGCGACGGAATGGTGGTGCGCTCCGCAACGCAGCGAGGAGAGAGACGCAGTTTCGATGCAGAGAGAGCAGCATTACTATCCTCTCTCTCTCACCTCACACACACGCACGCACACACATTCTCTCTCGTGCACGCGGGAGCACGCACAAGCCCATTACATTCACAATCCCAAACTCAGTAATTCCCGTGATGTTCTTTGCATGAACACATCAACAGGCGTGTGTTTGCGAGATGAATGTTTCAGTCCAGACTATGTTCTGCACTTTCTTGACGTTTTCACGGTATTTCCATTTACCAACTGTCTGCTTGATGGCTGCAAGGAGAAGCAGCAGCTTATCAATAAACCGACTGTGTGCTAAACCCATTTTTTTAGGAAGATTTACCTCTACTGGATTTAATGCTTATAGGCTGCTCTAGTTGCAGGGTTTTGGGGTGTATGCCCATTCAGTGATACAGACAGTATAGATAATGACTCCCCAGAGGCAGCACCATATCCTTAAAGACAACCATTGATGGCCTCATCGTCCACCTTATCACTTCCCCTGGAAAGGCTGTGTGGAGTGTACACTGCATAGAAAACGCCCACACAGGCACATGAGCCAAATCAACATTAAAGTGTTTTTGCACTGCTGAATATATCAAGTGTTAAACAAATGAAGTCGGACTGCTACTGCGAGAAGCTTGGATGGGTCCAGTCCAACAACATTCGCATTACAAAAGAGGCATTTAATAATCGTGGCCAGTTTTTGGACGTGTGACAGGAGGAGATCTTATAGGATATAATTGTTCTGAGCCTTTTTCTTTTCCTAAACCAGAACACGTCATCTTTGAGTGTGTATAAATGTAGAACATTATCTTGGAAAACAAGGGTAAAGCACCGGCTAAATATTAGCACTAAGGAACAATCTAAATAGTGAGAATGTTAAGTAATCCTATATTTTACACATTTTGTTCAACATCTCAAATGCAATTATACATTGGGTTAAACATTAAAGGCACCTTAGGATGATGGGAATATCCTTAGTTTTGCAGGTAGGGTCCATACAAACCAAAGAGATGGAAGCTCTTACAACCTGCATACATGCTCAAAACAATGACAAAGCTTACATTCTCATGCTTAGCAGGTGTTATGTTACCATGTTAACCATTTTAGTTGAGTGTGTTAGCATCTTATCATTTGCTGTTCCGCATAAAACTGTACAGCTGTATAGTACTGTGGACATATAATGTGACTACATTATATTTATAATGTCAATTCAATTAAATTCAAAACCTTTATTTATCCAGGTAAAATCCCATTGAGATCAATGATCTCTTTTTCAAGGGAGACCTGCAGCAGTAGGTTCCACAAGAAGACATAAACAACAGAACAACAAAAGGACATCATACAGCAAAATGTACAGGGATTCCAATTTACATATTTAACCACAAGTACAGGTACCAACAGCATCTGATTTTGTAGCATCCAACCGAGCTTTAAAAACATGTAGTGGTACTAGCTATAGTTACTAATGTAACTATATTTCCAGCTATTTGGTCATAAACCACAGGATCACAGAAGTAATTGAAATGTATTGTACGGGAACATGAATGTCTGGTCCAAATATCATGCAAATTGATTAAATTGTTTAGACATCTCTATAAAAAACACAAGCATTCACCTGCAGAGGAAACGTCAGTTTGACCAAATTATTAGGATCTTTCTAAAAACCTTTACAGTATATTTGTACCAAGAATTGTGCCAAAACTGTGGCAAGCTAGAGGCACTTCCTCAAGACTTATCATCCTATCCATACCAAATGTAGCTGACATCCAGCCAATAGTTGTTGAGGGATTGGGGGATCACCTGTTTGATTCATCCTCTGGGGGTCTGCTGGGTTGTGGTCCAATTGACCAACAGTAAACTTCAAAGTTAGACCTGTGCAAAGTATTTTCTCCAGACTGTCCCCCTCGCAGAATCCTGCAGAAAGAATGTGTGGCTGATGGGAGAGAATGACTGTGTGGAAATCATGCTTTAGTCATCCATGATTTAAATGTGTCCTCAAGGAAATGCTGCCTTTTTGTACATGCACATGCCCTATACATAGGCACCATCTGTGCCAGGAATACCATCAGCATGCTACTGCCGGTGCAAAGCATGTTGGGAAGTTGGACCTTGGAGTGACCCTTCGACAGCATATCTTATTAACACCTTGCTTCTCTGTTTTGTTTCATGTCCTGCAGGTACGACCGTGTGGAGATATAAATGCGAGAAGGACAACAAGGAATAAAGGGAGGCAACTGAAACGACTTGAATCAGATCCATAAATAAAAGAACCCTGACATTCAAAAGCCAGATATAGACTGAGGAAGAGAGCCGTAGAATAATTTGTGAAGATGGGGTGTGGTCAGACGTCGTTTCTCATGGACTCTACAGTTCACCCCTTCTGCCGCCGGTCAAAGCAGGATTCTCCGCGCTAAAACCCAGAGCAGCTTATTTCACCTGCTAGAGGAGCCCCCACCCTCGGTGATGTGATGAATAAGTTTGAAGTCCTTGGCATTGTGGGAGAAGGTGGGTGTTTTTTACACAGCAGATTTGACTGCATGTTTGTGGAACGTGAGGAGAATGTGCGCTGTTAACCTTCAACTCTGAGGCTGGTAATCAGATGAGGTCATATATCCACAGTGTGCACTTTAATGGGGATTTGGGTGTGGGGTTGTTTCAGTTTGCATTGTATAGTTGAAACCTGCACATCACAGTTGTCAGATGTTATATCTCCGGCATGTCCTGATCATTTTATCACAATTCTGAGGGATATTATTGGAGTTTGTGGCCTGAAAGGTTGCAGACGTTTATCATAGAGTGGGATGTAACCATGTCTGACCTCACAAGGGAAATTACAGAATTAATAAGTTGTTTGCTACATTTTCTCAAATATTTTCCCAAGCCATTATTTTCCTGGACGGAAACAGGCTTATATTTACCAGGGCCTTATTTCTATTTTTCCCTGCTTTATATCTTAGCAGATTTGACTAAGAAGCTTCACTGTCTCTTGATTATGCACAGATGCTGTTGTCTTGTTAGACAATTTTATCAGTGTGGAAACTGGGGGGAGGTCATTGAGGTCGTCAAACAACTCCACAGTGGCAAAGCCCCGGGGGCGGATGCAATCCGCCCAGAAATGCTGAAGGCTCTGGGTGTTGAGGGACTGTCATGGTTGACATGTCTCATCAACGTTGCGTGGAAGTCAGAAACAGTACCGAAGGAGTGGCAGACCGGGGTGGTGGTTCCCCTTTTCAAAAAGGGGGATCAGAGGGTGTGTGCCAATTACAGAGGCATCACACTACTCAGCCTTAGAAAGTTTACTCTAAGGTACTCGAAAGGAGGGTCAGGCCGATTGTCGAACCTCAGATTGAGGAGGAACAATGCGGATTCCGTCCTGGTCGTGGAACGACGGATCAGCTTTTTACTCTCGCAAGGATCCTGGAGGGGGCCTAGGAGTACGCTTATCCGGTCTACCGGTGTTTTGTAGACTTGGAGAAGGCGTATGACCGGGTTCCCAGGGAGTTACTGTGGGAGGTGCTGCGGGAGTATGGGGTGAGGGGGTCTCTACTGAGGGCAATCCAATCTCTGTACTCCCAAAGCGAGAGCTGTGTCTGGATCCTCGGCAGTAAGTCGGACCCATTTCCGGTGAGGGTTGGCCTCCGCCAGGGCTGCGCTTTGTCACCAATCCTGTTTGTAATGTACATGGATCGTATTTCAAGTCGTGGGGGAGGGGGTCTGCAGTTCGGTGGACTAAGGATTGCACCACTGCTTTTTGTAGATGATGTGGTTCTAATGGCTTCATCGGTCTGCGACCTTCAGCACTCACTGGATCGGTTCGCAACCGAGTGTGAAGCGGCTGGGATGAGGATCAGCACCTCCAAATCTGAGGCCATGGTTCTCAGCAGGAAACCGATGGACTGTCCACTCCAAGTAGGGAATGAGTCCTTACCCCAAGTGAAGGAGTTCAAGTATCTCGGGGTCTTGTTCTCGAGTGAGGGAACAATGGAGCGTGAGATGGGCCGGAGAATCGGAGCAGCGGGAGCGGTACTGCAGTCGCTTTACCCCACCGTTGTGACGAAAAGGGAGCTGAGCCAGAAGGCAAAGCTCTCTGTCTACCGGGCCATTTTCATTCCTACCCTCACCTATGGTCATGAAGGATGGGTCATGACCAAAAGAACGAGATCGCGGATACAAGCGGCCGAGATGGGTTTTCTCCGCAGGGTGGCTGTTGTCTCCCTTAGGGATAAGGTGAGAAGTTCGGTCATCCGGGAGGGACTCGGAGTTGAACCGCTCCTCCTTCGCGTCGAAAGGAGCCAGTTGAGGTGGTTCGGGCACCTAGTTAGGATGCCACCTGGGCGCCTCCCTAGGGAGGTGTTCCAGGCACGTCCAGCTGGGAAGAGACCAAGGGGTAGACCTAGGACCAGGTGGAGGGATTATATCTCTTCGCTGGCCTGGGAGCACCTTGGGATCCCCCAGTCAGAGCTGGTTGATGTCGCCAGGGAAAATAAAGTTTGGGGCTCTCTGCTGGAACTGCTACCCCCGCGACCCGACCACGGATAAGCGGGAGAAGATGGATGGATGGATGGAAACAAAGTCATCACTCACCACTATGCTGCTCTGAGTTTCTTTGATGAGAGACCAGACCTTTATTAACTTTTACACTCTCAGGAAAACATATGAAAGTGCAGAGGTCATGAGCATAACCCCAGATGGTTTGCGTTGTATGTTTCTGTAAATGTGTGCTTCTGTGTTTTGCAGAATAACCAAAAACGTCAAATTTGCTTGAGTAACCAAATTGGTAATTGGTAAATAAATGAGAAAACAACTAATCTTTCTGCCAATGATGATTGAGTAGTAGTATAAAACCTTGACACATTAAACCACGCAGGAATGATTTCATCTTAGCTTATTTCAGTGAGTCAGGCTGACATGTATCCCTGGCTTTACTTTAATGTGAGAAGTCAGAGTAACCGAGTGTTTATTGTTCTGTAGATAATTCTCACTAACTGCGATCTACAACAGTGCTTGTCAGGATACATTAATCAAAAAGTATGACACATGAGAGCTGCAATTAAAGGAGGCAATTATTTCTCATAATACAAAGAATGTAGTCTCCTGAAAAACTGCACTTTACTTTTATGTCATCACTGTTGGTGTAAACATGTAGGACAATTAGTTGTTTCTCGCCTTGGTCCCCGGTTAAATTAAACATTTAAACTGAAACAGCTACAACTGAGACTGGACCTCATTATGTTTTGTGTGTGATTTGAATGGAAACAAAAGCAGTTTGCAAGGAAAATGTACTTACAACCAATGCAAGTCTGTCTGACATGCCTGAAACACAGGCCCAACATAGACCTGACCTCTTAGTGAAATACAGGTGTGTGTGTGTGTGTGTGTGTGTGTGTGTGTGTGTGTGTGTGTGTGTGTGTGTGTGTGTGTGTGTGTGTGTGTGTGTGTGTGTGTGTGCGTGTGTGTGTGTTGTCAAAGGTATGGGCATATGTGTGAGTGTGTGTGTGTGTGTGTGTGTGTGTGTGTGTGTGTGTGTGTGTGTGTGTGTGTGTGTGTGTGTGTGTGTGTGTGTGTGTGTGTGTTGTCAAAGGTATGGGCATATGTGTGAGTGTGTGTGTGTGTGTGTGTGTGTGTGTGTGTGTGTGTGTGTGTGTGTGTGTGTGTGTGTGTGTGTGTGTATAGAGTGTGTGGGAGAGTGCGTCCACCTCACCTACTAACTGTTGTTTAGCCAGAATTCTCAACAATTTTTTACGAACATGTTTGTTTGTTTTTCTCTTTTTTCCAGGAGCATATGGAGTGGTGCTCAAGTGCAGGCATAAGGTAAGACTTTTAGAGATGACAATATGACAATATTTATGTTTAGCATTATTCTAAAAGTCTTTGTGTCATAGTTCATTTTGAGATGATAAAATATGTTGACTGGATTAATCAGTAAATTTTCAAGCAAAAATTGCCAACTTTGTGTCTGTACTCATTCTCTCGGAAAAATGCAATTGGCAACAAATAACTAGATAACCTCTTTCCTTCCTTACTGTCACTAGCATATTTTATTTGTTTGTAAATCTCCTCAACAATGATCAATTCTAATGGCTAACACCGAATTGCTTGCTAGCTTGAATCTAAAACGTGCATACCAATGTTAAAGTACTTTTTCATTTAACAGTTTGAAAACAAGCTGAAATATACTGTCGATATAATGCTGTTGTGTATTATCTTCTTCTTCTTGCTGTTTTTTACATAGCTGTGAAAAGAAAGCGGAACAAGGATAGATAAACAATCAACACATCCTGGTTAATAAAGTCATGAAAAGGTTAATCTGAATGAAAAAAGCCATCACTGTTCAAATTAACCATCAACAATCAGCGTAGGATTGGGTGTGACACATCGTACAAACAAATTGTTCTTGACAAAATAAAATAAATAGATTAGAACAGATATGAGAGGGGAAACTATTCAGTTAAGTGAGTATCTGTACTGTCATTAAGAACAGAAAGAAAAAACTAGGGCCTTTTTGCCTTAAACTCACAAGTTATTTTGGTGAAAGTATTCCCACACTCCTTTTGATGATGACATTGTTATGTGATGTAATATATCACAATAATGAAAATTAAAGAACCAATGCCAGAAATGTTCCATTTGAAGTGATTATGATGCAACTGTCTCAATGTGATGTAGAAAGAGAAGACTTGAACAATTATTTTAGACAAAGTAAAGGCTTCTCAGAGTTTATAAATAAATACTTTCTCTCTTCCAAACCAAGCCACTTTGAGGAACGTTCATTATAAAATGTTCTGTAGTGAAGAATAATCTGCGTGGATAGAGTAATAGGTTCAGCTTTGACTGCATAACATTACATATTTTTTGTCTAATTCTGTATCATTCTCTCTCATTTATGAACATAATATATTTGTGAAAAACACCTCACTCCACACGAGAGCGAGAGAGGACTAATGTGGGAGGAGTGACAGTCGCAGCGAAGTCAACGAGAGGAAAAGGACATTTTTAAATATTTAATGCTGCTTTTACCCTTATGTGTTTCTTAGAGAGTATTCAAAATGGCTATTTTTATTATTGTTTCCTACGCTAACCCAAGTATGTTTAGAATTCAAAGATGTATTTGGAAGCAAACACATCTGGGTAGTTACTGCTAACATTGCGTGACAGCTGAATGGGAAATGAAACTAAAATGGCTTGATTCATTATGTGACTACTGTGAGTGCTGGGCGTTTGCCCTGTGGTCCCCGCACACCATTTTGGCATGTTTAGTTCATTTCAGGCCCTTTCACTTGACCAAGTTTTCTCAACGCTACACTTCATGAACATTTCAAGTGAGCCATAAATTATATACATTGAGTGAGAACTCTAAATATGCAATCATGCATTCTTGAGACATGAACGAGGTGGTTAGCAGAACATGAGGGTTAGAGAGGAAGTTGCAACCCCAGCAGAGACAGATTAAACGGTAAACCACAATCTGCATGATCAGATGTGTTAAATGCAAACAGAAAGTGACTAAGTAAAGTAACCTGGGCATTTGTTGTCACATTTCTCTTGTCTTTCAAAGATGTGTGTGTCTGTAAAGTGTCTGTTCTCTGATTAAGGTCTTTGTGTAAAGCTGCCTATGTAAGAAAATGTTTCCCCATATCAACTAGTCAAGAAAGGAACACATATAAAAATGACTTGGTTTGCTGCTAACTTTGGAGAGAGAGGCAGTGAGCCTCTAGTAATTATAATTTATATTCTTTGTAATAAAAGCACCAGTAAATGTGTGAGAGTGTTCAACCACTGAGAAATGAAAGTTTAGGGCTACTTAATCAGTAAAGAAATTACATAGTGTGTAAAATGTTTCTGAATAACAATATGTTTTAATGCTTGATAACAACTTATAAACCAAGGTCAACAACACCAATTCATAATTTTTTTCATTTCAATCTCTTTTATTTTCTACATTTTATTGCACCACATATTAGATTCCCAACAATACCAAAGAAATGAAGATACCAGCTGTCAAAGTGTGATAATGTTAAACCCTTTCTATGGCACTAACTTACTAAGAAGTGACATGTGACACGTTTCCCACTTATATAACAGTTGTGGAGGATTCATTTTCACACATAAAGCCAGAGAATCAGACCATGGCAATGAAAGCTTTTTAGCTTTGCTGCGAGAGAGCAGTTTATTTTTACTTTTCTCAGCTGGAAGGAGGGCAAAAGAGAAAAAGTGTGGCAGAGGGAGAGCGCGTGTGTGTGTGTGTGTGTGTGTGTGTATGTGTGTGTGTGTGTGTGTGTGTGTGTGTGTGTGTGTGGGTGTGGGTGTGGGTGTGGTGTGTGTGTGTGTGTGTGTGTGTGTGTGTGTGTGTGTGTGTGTGTGTGTGTGTGTGTGTGTGTGTGTGTGTGTGTGTGTGTGTGTTGTGTGTGTGTGTGTGTGTGTGTGATGGAGAGTAAGATTTTTAAAGGGAGGTATTGAATATGGAGACTATGCTTACAGTAAATGGGTCACCCTGTTAGGAGTCGACAGCAGTCTGTGGTAGTGCGAGGCAGCGGGCTCAAACCCAAGCAGGTGACTCAGAAGAGCCTAACTGTACTACCAAGACACGAAATGCATTATAAATGTGTGCCCCTGTATAAATTATGTATACTTTACAGTACAGCATGTGTTTGATGGAACATTTAATTAGCTGAGCGAATGTGTGCCCGCGTTTGTGCAATGTTCTGCCACTTTATGGAAGTGTTGTATTAGCGTATGTGGGTGTGTGTATGTGGAGGCTTATGTGTTATCTTGAATTTGTGTGTTGGGAGTGACAATGGCTCAACCTACACGCTAGCCGGTTATTCCTGGTGCCTAAATGTTATCTGCTGTATTGTATTGCTTAAGGGGTTTTAATTAATTTCCACTGGTTGGGTTAACAGGAACTGTTTTAGTTACTATTTGAATTTTTTTTAAGTATTTTGTAAAAACCTGGGGATTTTGCTATTTTTAAAGTTTGGAATCTTTGTAGGCAGAATGCTTTTGTGGTTTTTACTGTTGGTAAACCATAGTAAGTGCCTGGGCTCTAGTTACTTTTGATTGACATTTTATATATTTATAAAAGGAACTGGGTTACGATAAAAAGATTGTTGATGTAAGATATCAGTCTGGATGAGAATAAACGTTGCTTTTGTTTAATATAAGATTTTGTCACAGTTTAAGATGAGTTTACTCTACATGTTGAAGAGCACAAGTTCAGCGGCATGGTACATATCCCAATATCAGTAAACATTGAGAGAAAATAATAGAACAGTTAATGGAAATAGTATTTAGGAGGCAAATAAAGACAACAAATAAAAGAAAACTAAATGTGTAAATAGATATGGACCTGTGTCAGAAAGCAAATGTAATTGAATAAAAGGGCAAAAATAAAGGAGATAAGGACAATCAAAATATGGAGTTTTCAGGATGGGGGGGTGCTGAGATGAGTAAAATACAGCACTGCAAATAGATGACAGGCCAATTGCTACGTGCTTTAAGGTAGAAATGGGATATAAGTGTGGTGTATTTTTCCCATTTAGCATAATTATGCTGACCTCTATATAACAGACATGTATTAATATGAAAGATAGGAGCACTAACATCACCTCCTCTGTGGCACAGATTATGGTAGCCTGATTATTACACACATCCTGCCATTGTATGATAAACCTTCATTGCTGATGTGAAAGCTATAGCTCTTTTGTTGAATGTGACAATCAGTGGCTGTTCATGTCCTCAGCAGAAAATTAGCAAGAGGTTATTTTTAGATGTGCTGACTTTACAGTGGCTCAAAAAAGGTAAATCAGTGGAGGTCAGAGCCACAAGCATCATCAGCACATTACAGGGTGCTGCCACAGGGTGTGTGTAATCTGTGTTACTGATTTTGCCTCATCATTGAAGACAAAGAAGAACATTACAATGAAATCACGGATGTACTTTCTTTCACTGGAAACTGAAGCTCTACTTATAATTAATTGTAAATAAGAGCTCTTGCCCCATGCTATTTTGTTTTCTGTTCCTAACCACGTGGTCCTCTTCTCGACACTGAGGCTGACTGTCTCTCTGACCCTCTTTAGACAAAAGGACAATAGATAAACATGAGAGTATCAGAGGACAGAGGACACTGGCTCGATGCTGTAATTCTCTCTGGACTGCTGTTGTCAACATCTCCTCAGGGTCTAACATCAGGGTCTGTTATGTATTGTTTCAAGCTATAGAAATGCCATCAAGGGCATTATCTTTTAATAAAAAATACATATTTACGTATATAATCTTTCTCACCTGTGAATACCTGCTTGACTTGTGTCTGTGTGTGCATCTAAGGACTTCAGTCTCCCCTCTCATGTATCAAAGTTAATCTAAAGCCTTACAATAGTCACTGTTCATTAAAATGCAAACCATATAACCACTGACTAATTTTACCTCAGTCCAGATAGTTATTTCTCAACAGTTTCTAAGGAAAATCATCGCCAGACCAAACTGCTACTCTATGTTAGGAAGGAGAAGCTTTATCGGGTTTCACTGGAGCATACTGAAACAAATCATCAGAGACAATTTGGCGATTTAAAGGTGGGGTAGGTAATTCACTTCAGAAACACTTTTTGTTATATTCCATGGAATGCTCTTAACATCCCGATAGCAATGAATAAATTAAGTGCTTTGACAATAAATACATACAACAATTTCATCTGTGGAAGCCGTAGTACTGTAAAAAGCACCACCAATCATTTTAGCCGGCCCGGCTAAAATAACTGGATGCCCTACCTGCCTGTCAGACTTCCATCTGTGCACAAACCTATCTCGTGCCCTCATTGGTCATGTGCGCGTTCGTGTGTGTTGGAGGAGGGGCTCTATAAGGAAGGGGCAGATTTTTTTTTTCCAGCTGGTTTTTCCATTCTTACCTACCCTACCTTTAATGTTAGTCCTCCAGCATACTTGGGACCAAATGAAGTTACTTTATGTACTCTGAAATAAGGCACGGAAATGCTCACTGCAGTGTCAAGAGGTAGCTCACATAGATTGCTTTACTGTGGGAAATACTTCCCTTTTGCAGGAGCTTCTCATGGTCTTAAACACAATACTGCGGGGTAATCATGAAAGCATGATTTATATCTGGCTGTGTTCATTGTATTTTGCCCAATCATAGACAGAGCCAGTAGAACATCTATTAAAACCTGAAGAGGATTTGAAGACATGTGCAATTACCCTATGAGTGTCCTATTTGCGAGAACATCTAATTTATGTTTTTTTTTTTAATCCCACAAATAATCAACCTGATATGTGGAAACCTGCAGCAGAACCTACAGTTGTATTGTTTTCCAGTAAAGCTGGACAATAGACTTGATGTGTGAAGCTGCAGCACAGCCTTTGAAACAAAATACGGCTAAATCTCTGTATCTGCATCCACAGCAGCTTGTAAAATTCAGCAAGGTCACTCAAGCTACCAGCAAGGAGCTGAAGGAAACCTACGATGCACATTAACTATGCCAGGGTGTGCTGTTTCTTGGGTTGGGATTACCCTGTGGCACAATAATTAAAAAACTTGGGCTTCCTTTTTTTATAGAGAGGTCAGGAAATTCATTTGAATATCTTTAGCTTTTCTCTTTTTCACCAATCCCTCGACAAATACTTTCTATGTCTGACATCTTATTTTAATGTTGCATGTATCTTTGTATCTGTCATTATATCTCAGAAAATCACTGAGCCTTTATTTAACCCTCCTGTTGTCTTTGTTCCCCCCCCCATTACTTTGGTGTCCGTGGTCAAATTTGACCGGTCCTGTTTTAACTGCTATTACATTAACACAAAAACCATTAATCATCACCAAATTTCATTTAACACCCTTTCAAACTGTAAATATTGTATCAGACTACTGGTATACATGAAAAACTGCAGTAAATATACAAAGAATAGACACGGAACATGTTGCGTGTCCCAGGTGTGATCCATGTGGGGGGATGGGCACATAAGAATGGGAAATGTGTCAAATTGTTCTGTGTGTGTGTGTGTGTGTGTGTGTGTGTGTGTGTGTGTGTGTGTGTGTGTGTGTGTGTGTGTGTGTGTGTGTGTGTGTGTGTGTGTGTGTGTGTGTGTGTGTGTGTGTGTGTGTGTGTGTGTGTGTGTGTGTGTGTGTGTGTGTTTGTTTGTTATCTGATCCAGATGGTTATTAATTCAATTTCTTCATTTGTGACCGGGAACACCATGGGTGTTACAAAGTTGACAAAATCATCCAAAATGCAATGAAAGTGGTGATCAGCAAATGTATATGTTCAAATGTCTACTGTGAAGGATATCATAAAGCCTTAATGCAATCGAATGTAAAACAAAAAAGTTATGATTGATGAAAGTAGTAAATCGGTCAGATTTGACCCGAACACAACAGGAGGGTTAATTCAATGCTTTTTTTTCCTTTCGTTTTAACACAACTCACATCCTGATGTCTTCACAGGAAACCAATGAGCTGGTGGCCATTAAGAAATTCAAAGACAGCGAAGGTGAGTGAAGGAGCGAGGCAGGGAGAAATGGAGGGATAAAAAAAGGAAGCAATTTAAGTCAGACTTTTTAATTTCCGCACAGAAAATGAGGAGGTCAAGGAGACGACGCTTCGGGAGCTGAAGATGCTCCGGACCCTGAAGCAGGACAACATCGTGGAGCTGAAGGAGGCTTTTCGCAGGAGGGGGAAACTCTACCTGGTCTTTGAATATGTGGAGAGGGTCAGCCTGACACTATCATTATTATTTCATGCTATGCCCTCACTGATTCTTCCATTGCTTATCTCCACTCTGATGCATCTAGTTTCAGCATGTTGAGACTGCTCAGTTAAGCATAAAAACAGCATCACCATGGCAACATATGAACTATGCTGTTGGTGAATAATGGTATTCCCCACTGTGTTGCCAGGGTATCCAGCCAAGAGTTTATTTCATGACAGGTTTTTTTTCATACTGTAAGTAATTCTAGCATGGTGTCCCCTCTGATTCCTTTGATCAGGGTTTAAACGAAAAGTGAGATCAGGGGGTCCAATCCCCCCTGTAGGAATAATCCAGGACAAAGTTCAGCAACATTCATATTTGAATAACACATTTCCAGCAAACTCAACCTGCAGCCACACATCCTCTCTCTTCTCTGGTTTGCAGAACATGCTGGAGCTTTTAGAGGAGCTGCCCAACGGTGCACCGCCTGATAAAGTCCGCAGCTACATCTACCAGCTCATCAAAGCCATCAACTGGTGTCACACCAATGATATAGTCCACAGAGGTGAGGAGTGCATTTTTATTTCTACATCAATGTCTCAACGTTAGTGTCACCTGGTGTTTAGACTGAAAATCGCAATCATCTTAAGTAACACAGGTTGTTTTAGCTCACTTTAAATACAGGGTAATTGGCTTATATTGGGATTGTGTTACAATTGCAATTATATCACTGAAACATGTTGCTAAAAGCTGTTTTTCTACGTCTCTAATACAGATATCAAGCCGGAGAACCTCCTCATTAGCTCCGAGGATGTTCTCAAACTCTGTGACTTTGGTGAGTCGTTGATCTTCTCCTTACAGCTGCCATATTATCACCTCGAGCTATTGAGATTTACATGGGCACTGCAGTAAAACCAGTGCAGTGTTTTACACGTTTACTTGTCAAATATATCTAATTGCATTGGTTCAACAGAGGGAATCAGCTATTACCTTCATGTACAGCAGGATTAGACATCCTGCTGTACATGAAGGTTCATTATGATGCTTTCACATTATCTGCGATTTTTTAAAGTTATATCTTTGTTTTTAACCTTGGCAGTTTGTTTTCTTTGGCCTCACGTCTCTGTGAAATATCCCACCATTAATTTGTCCCCTTGCAAGTAGTAAAAAAATCAATTCTGCCACTGGAAAGCAGCCAACTGGCTGTGTCAAACGTACTGAGGTGGTTTTTTGCACAATCAAACTGCCATAGTAATATCTAAAGAAAGTCCAGTGAAGGTTAGGCTTTTGTTTCCCCTGTAAAATACTAACCGTATAGTTAGAGCATTGCTTTGTAATATTCGAGTTTCCCAGGTGAATTTCTGTGCCTATTTTCAAAATCACAGTCGGTCAGCTTTGCATACTTTTATCTAATGCAATCCTACTGACTCAGCTGGGGTGAGAATTGTTTGTTATTCACTGTTAGAGCTGGCATTCTGCTTATTGTGATGTTTCATGCTTAAATTGGACTTTTGTACAGCCGCACCACGGTCTCCGCCCTCCTGGAGTGACATAACTAATTAGAGTCTGGTCACATGGGATGATGGCCATGTTGTTACTGTCGCCGTCCAAGAGTGTTGATTACACTTTACTCTTACTAATTAGCCATTTATATGTTTCACACAGTGCTGCATGTCTAAAACATAGTGTCAGTATCTATGAGATGTATTCATCTCCATATTTCTCTGGCTCAGGTTTCGCTCGTAACCTGTCTGAAGGAACAGATGCCAATTACACTGAGTATGTGGCTACAAGGTGGTACCGCTCTCCTGAGCTGCTGCTGGGGTGAGTGTGCTTGTGTGTGTGTGTATGTGTTTGTGCGTGTGTGCGTGCATAAGTCTGTCGGACAACATGAAAATCAAGAAAGAGAAAGTGACCTCATTCTGTTGGCTCGTGCAAGTCATTCTCAGCATTTCTTTAATTCTCTACCAGCTTTTATAGAAGATTGTGTGAGACAGTGTCACTTTGATCTATCACTTTGACACTTTCTCTCCTGATAGTGTTTCCAATAACCTAATTCAAGATACAGAATACCTTTCCAACACCAGTGCTCTCATTTTCCTGAAATCCCAATCTTTCAAGCGTACTGCAAAGAAGTGATTTGAATATGTTTCATTTAAGGTTACATGAGGCTAATTATTGCCTTATTGCATTACAACTCTAAGAGATATAAAGAAATCACTGCATTTCATAATGATATCACTAACTGACTAAAATAAAGCAACCATTAAAAAATTGGGACCAAAGATCCCAAATGTGTCTATGTGCTTTAAAGGATCTGGCAGCGCATATTCATTCATACGTATGAGATAGTGGTGTTTGACACACAAAAATATGTCACCAGTAAAACATCAGCCGTTCTCCAGGTGTCCATGAGAGGATTACAGAAGGTCCCCAGAGGAATTAGTAGCAGCAGAACATGCATGAAAATGACTACTCTGCTCAGTTGTCATTACTAATACGCCACCTTACCTTCTGTAAGGCCTCATAGATGTGTCCGGTCACATCTAACATATTGTCACAGTCTTGTCAAATCACGCCTCTCAAACTCATCAGCTTTCATGAGCTGCTAAAACCAACAACCTTATTTTCAGCCTTATAGTTGAGTGTTCATATATCTTAAGAAGTAGTGAATGTTCTCAATCTATAGAGGGACAGTTAATACTTTTCTTTATCTAAAAAGTCACCAAATTTGAAAAAGAATGACTTAACATTTGTAATAATTACGACAGCAGCTGCCAATGTATTCATATTCTAAAACAGCAGCCAGCTGGGAAGCATTATAATATTGAATTATTTCATTTTGTTGTATTATATGTATGTATGTGTTTTTTGCACAAGGTTCAATTCAATTAATAATGTTGTTGTTAACTTCCATATTCACCCTTTTCATCACATCATAGATGAAACAGGTGTTTCTATCTTCCCAAAAAGAGGCGATGATTCACCTGCTTCAGTAATATGACACGACCCTGAGACTACATTTCGGATTTTCGCAGTTTATGCTGTTTTTTGCTGCATTGAATGTCCATTCTAGCTTATAACAGCTGAATGTCATGTAGCTTCACTGCTGTAGCCTGATTTAGTAAATGCCCTGGAACATTTATTGAGACAGTGTTTGAATGCCGCCCACTCAAATACTCTCTCCCTCCAACACCACCGCTCCTCTGCTTTTCTGCTGCCAGATCTCTCGCCATTTCTCACCAGACTCCTCAGCTCCGTTCCTTTAGAAATGCCCATCGTCTTTATGACCAGCAGGAACTCAGCATCCATCTTTTTGTTGTACTGCACCACCATCCCAAAAAATAACATTATCCTCCTCTCATCATTCTTATAATCATCTCTAAATGATGTTGTTACTCTCTCTTCCCAGGGCTCCCTATGGGAAGGCGGTGGACATGTGGTCGGTGGGGTGTATCCTCGGGGAGCTGAGTGACGGACAGCCTCTGTTTCCAGGGGAAAGTGAGATGGATCAGGTAGGCAATGAAACAAAAAGGTC